TTTTGACTATAATTAATAACTTAAGTTTAATTATGCCCAATGACCTATTAATGATAAAGTATGTGTAAATTAAAGCTGAATGTAGACTAGCTGTTTATTAGCCATAATCATGCTTGAGCAATTGTTTGTATTTGCAGACAGACACTTTCATTAATTATTTTTCATAGGCCTAATGAGGTTGAAAGCGTCACTCAGAAAGCCCTACAAACATTGCTTTTAATGATACTTGAAGCCTTCTGCCAACAGGGTACTGTTGAAGAATTGATTAGGAAAGAAGTGTCCCTTGGGAGTAACAGAGCCCCTGTGACATGAACTCCTGCTTGGAATGCCCCTTTCTTTCCCTTCATCTTACTCTAAAGTCTCTTTTATGGAAAAGTCATGGGTTTTGATGTCTACCTAGCTATTCTTGTCATCCTAGATAAGAAATTATTTTTTGGAAAATATTTTGTGGAAATTATTGACCCCTTCTGACCTCTATTTTCATGTCTGTCAAATGGGTGTCATAACAGTAATGGTAATATTACCAACCTCATAAAGAATATAGTAAAAGAATGAGATAGCGTATGCAAAATGCCCAGAAATGGATCTGATATAGATTAAAGTAATAATTCTTAGAAATCTCTAATGTGTTCTAGGTACATGTGTAATACGAATGTTTTCCACCTGCAAAGCCATTATCTTTGCCTCTCAGTATTACTTCTCAGAAGTCATTTTCTTATGTATTCAAAGGCAACAGAAACTGAGGTCACTTCCTGAGAGCTTCTACTTGGCCTTTTGCTTATCCTCTCTTGTCTGGCTTCCTTTTTCTCTTTTTTTTCTTGTCTGGCTTCATGCCATGATATTGGGTGCTATCAGGAGTGTCCACTTCTTTTGTTGCTAATCACCGCTCACGTTTCTGGAAGTATTGTCCTATTTTGATACAAAACCACTACCCTCATGCTGCCTTCAAATTTCATGTGTGAGAAGAGGATTGGCTGCTTCATCTCAAGTGTAGACCTGCCTGCCCTTGAGCTTCCCATGACATCAGCTAAATCGTGTCCATTCTGCAAAACCAATTCTGTTGTCATAATTTGAAGCACTGTGCATCATAGGGAAGGGGAAGATCCCTTAAACCTGAATGTGAAATTTGACACTTCCAATGTTCAAGAAAAAAAGAAACACATGTTCACTTATCACAAGAAAGTCTTAACTGGTGTCTCGCAGATCCTGGGGGTGTTTCCTTCTATTTAGAGGCCTCTCTTATTTGTCTCTCTCTCTTCAGAGACATGAAATAATTCTTAATTTCTGTGATGCCAATCAATTTTTTCTCTGGAAAAACGTGACCTCAGTTCTAAAAGTTTATTTTGCCCATAGAGTCCATTCTGGTCAACCTTCCCCTGAAGATTTATAGAGCATGATAATCAATGTGACTGTCTTTCTAAAACTTTGAATTATTTGACCTGGAATTACACCATAAGGTAGAATACATCAAGTGTGAGCTTGCACTGTGTGTGTGTGTGTGTGTGTGTGTGTCCTGTGAAGGGAGAGGTTTTGATCTATGTTCTCGCTCAATATGGGGTAAAGTCAACCCCTCAATTGTTCCTATTGTCTTCAGTGTTTATTTCTGGACTTTTAAGATAACACTTGGACAAAGCAAATGGACACACACACACACACACACACACACAAACCCACACATCCTAAGGGTAAATAGTATTTACCAGAGTAAGTACAGTGTAATTGGAATTAGCTGCGGGCGGGGAGACTTTTTCCTAAAGGCACAATTATTTATCCAAGTTGTCCCAACCCCGATAGCTTGCATATTACTATATGGAACTGTTTTAATTATACTTGTCTCCCCCTCCTTAGCCTTCTTTCTCTATACTCCTCACTGGGCCTTAACCATTAATTAAAAAGAGGTTAATTACACCATTCTTCTCAGCCGAATAATAGCAACTGTCCTTTGACTTGATAAGCATGTCCTGGTAGGAAATAGGTGGCCCACTCAAATGGGGAAAATTTAATGAAGGAACAGTTTATAATACAAAGGAGAGGACAGGGTTAATGGAAACCAATAGTACCTGGCTAGGGACAGTTGGGAGCCTGAGAGTTGATGCCTGTAGGAGCTATTAGAAGAACTGGAAGAAACTAGTTATAGGTGAGTACCACTCCATTAGAACTGTGGCTCTGGGGAGCAAGGGAACCAACTTTGAGGTGATTTAGAGGATGAACTCTGATGGAATAAGTACCCTGATCTTTCTTCTCTGTCTCCTTGTCCTCTGTCAACTTTTTTCTTTCCACTGTGTGCCCCAAACCACCTTTGACCAAAGCTGACCAGAAGCCAATGAACAAGGTGGCCACTACTACATACCTTCTGTGGTTGGATCTGAGTACAGAAAGGACAAAAAGGCAGCAGATGGAAAACATTTCATGGAGGTGGTAGTGGTTTAGTCGCTAAGTCATGTCTAACTCTTGTGACCCCATGGACTGTGGCCCACCAGGCTCCTCTGTCCATGGGATTCTCTAGGCAAGAATACTGGAGTGGGTTACCATGTTCTTCTCCAGGGGATCTTCCTGACCCAGGGATCGAACCCAGGTCTTCTGCATTGCAGGCAGATACTTTACTGATTGAGCTATAAGGGAAGCCCCCAAAGACCTCATACATCTCCTTAACTTTTAGTCTCCCCTTCCCATAATCTCATTAAAGTGGTAGAAGTGGATTTTAAAAGTCCCAATTCTTTGTTCAAAACAGAGTTCCATCCATGATTGAGAGATCTAAACTTGTTTATGAAAGATTCGGTGGACAAAGACTGAAGAGCGTAGAAACAGACCGTGCAGCACAGGAAGACAGGACTTAATATAGCAGAAATCGGATGGTGATAAAAAAGGAAGTTCATCTGCCCGGAAAGACCCTTTAGAAACATGGTGGCTGATCTGATGGAGGATGGGAGTACGGAGTGGGACAGAAAAAATGCAGGTTATATAAAATCTTTAGATAATGAGGAGAGGCATACAAATAGTGATACAATTATAAAAAAAAATGAAAGCTAGTGGAAAATAAATATTCATCGATTACAGAAGAAAATCAATAGATGATGTCTAAAGTGAATAAAACAGCAAGTGTTGACATGTACATATAATTTATAGATTTGGAGGTAACCACAGAAGAACTAAATACATATAGAGTTCAGAATATTCTGGAAGGAGGAAGACGGGGAATGGCATGTAGGTCAGTTGCTTCTCACTATAGTAAGTCTTTTTGCATTAATTAGTTTTTAGAAACCGTGTGAATATATAATTTTAATAAAAGCTCCTTTTGTTCCTTTTTTTTTTGGCTCCACTTAGTTTGCTGGCTATAGAAATTTCCTTCTTTGTATGGTTAGGTCCATTAGCTGTCTTAAAGCTAAAAAATAATTTGGTTTTCTCCTAGGCATCCCCTTCTCTCCATTCTTTGTAACCCTCTCTGTGTTCTTCCTTCAGCCACCAGAAGCTCCCTCACACAAGCCCCACACATGAACATCTTTCTCCTGAATGCAGTTATGTTATCATTCTCTGTAAAGTCCATGCACTCTTACAACTTTGTGTCTTTTCTCAAACTGTTTCTTTGACCTGAAATGGCTTCAGACTTTAATTATTTTCTTTTTTTTTTGAATTGAAATACAGTTGTGTTAGTTTCTTCTGCAAAGTGATTCAGTTGTATGTATGTGTATATATATATATATATATATATATGTATATGTATTCTTTTTAAAAATATAGTTTTCCCATTATGGTTTATCACAGAATATTGAGTATAGTTCTCTGTACTATACAAGAGGATCTTCTTATTTATCCATCCTGCATATAATAGTTTACATCTGCTAATCCCAAACTCCCAATTTTTCTCCCCCGCCACCCTGCCTTGACAACCACAAATCTGTTTTCTATGTCTGTGAGTCTGTCTGTTTCACAGAGGTTCCTTTGTGTCATATTTTAGATTCCACATATAAGCAATATCATCTTGTATCTGTGTTTTGCTTTCTGAAAAAAAAAATTGTTTTTCTACTTATCCCTCAAATGCCAGAATAAAATCTACCTTCTCTAGGAACTGTCTTTGGTTTCCCCACATGATTATGCTTTCTTCTGTACTCTCCTAATACTGTGCCAGTGTCTGATACATCTCACTCTGCAAAGCCTCATAACTAGATGTGTATCTGTCTGCCCCTTCTTCTTTCCATTTCATTGTGAATTCAAGAATTTGTATCTGTGTATCGAGCACAATATCTTACACATGGTAATTGAAATACTTGCTAAGCACCGTCATTGATTTTGGAAGTAGTTGTTGATTAGAAGGCATCTAAAGATTAGAAAATGAATGCCCCACACATTAAAGTGAACATCAACTGTCTTCTTATCCAGGTGCCCATTACTACTTCTGTGGGTCAGCAAAATAACCAGGAAGATAATGTTTTGTTCTGTTGTAATTTTATTGCCTCTAAATTCTAATTATACGCATATTACCTCAGGTTGTGAGGAATAAGAAATCTAATAAATTAATTCCCATAAATAAATGTTAGTGATATATTAATTTTAATAAGTGTTTGCATAGTAAAAAGTAGCCTAAAGAAGGAAGTACCCCACCTAAGGGAGAGAATTGCTTTTGGTAAAACGTTAACACCCTGAGCTGTTGCTTTGAGATCAAAGAGCGTTTCTGGGGCCTCTCAGATTATGCTGTGGGACTTTTATGCAAAATATAATATAGATTCTGATTAATTAAAGTGTATTATCAGTGGGAAACAATATTCCCATATTAGAACATACAGATTTGAAATCACAGTTAGTAAGTGTGATGTGTCTTTCTCATAGAAGTAAGGCTGAGTATTAATCTCTGGTTTTTTCTTGTTATTTTCATTTCCCAGGTAGTCTTTCCGTGGGTCCTTCTTTTTTTCTTTTTTTTTCTTTATTCAATTGCTCCCTATCCCTGGACTTTTCTTTGCCTCCACATAAAAGGGCACTATTATTTTATTTTTCCTTTACTTCAGGAAATGCTGCAATAAAACAGTCTCGATATAGGATTATCATCCAAGAAGCAGCCAACGGAGGCCAAGAATGCCCAGATACCTTATTTGAAGAGCGGGAGTGTGAAGATGTGTCATTGGGCTCCACATATCGGTAATTAATTGCTTTCAAAATAATCATTAGACCTTAGTACAAGCCATGACCTATTTGCTCTTATATAGTGTGCGGTTATTATACGAAACACTTGTAGTGAGAAATACAAAGAGGTAGTATTTTTTTATCTTCACCTATCTCACTATTTTCCCCTTTTCTGAAGTATATTTTGAGAGAGTAAACAGTGTGAAAGTCTAATTTAAAATGAAAAAGGTTAACAACCACTTTTTGATTGCAGTTGAGCGGCTTGACTTCAGCCACCCAGGTAATCAGCTTTCAGGATTAGAATTCAAAGATATGCAGGTTGAGGTCCTTACTGGACATGCACAAACACACAACTTACCTCATTCTATTTTTCTCATCCTAAAGCCTTGAATCAAGAACTAAGAACAAATGTATACTGCCTTAATAGTTGTTTATTTTAGTTCAAAAATGGTTTTGGTTCTCAATTTTTGTCATGTACACATTTTAAGAAACCTTAGGAAAAAAGCTTAACCTATGGGTAATTTTTTGTCTTTAGAAAAAGAAAGTGAGTAACATTTAAACTATATATGTTACCCTATATTTGCCCCTCTGGGAAGTAAGTGATTATTATTTATCAAAACAGTACCTGAGGTTTGTGTATTCAGTCATAAACTCTCATTCTTTTAACATAAGATTGAAGCACTGCTTTAAAGTATTAATACTTCTGGATTAAATTCAATCACTGTTGGGTTTTACTGATTTGTGGAAACAAGCCCAGGGTCTTAATAACCGTGTTGTTATCAGCACACTTAAAAATGCCTTTATTCGAAATGTCTAGGGTTTTCCCTGATTGAGAAACTGTATCTTAAATCTATATGATTCAAGAGCTAATTTTTTCTAGAGAGTTCCTGGTGGTCCAATGGCTAAGACTCCAAGCTCCCAATGTAAGGGGCCCAGCTTCGATCTCGATCTCTGGTCAGGGAACTAGATCGCACATGCCATACCTAAGAGTTCACATGCCTCAACTAAAGATCTCACATGCTGTAACAAAGACCTGGTGCAACCAAATAAATAAATAAAAACAAATATGTTTTTTAAATGAGCTAATTTATTCTGGAAAATGTAAGTTTTGTTGTGTTTTGTTTTTTAAGAAGGCCTCCCATTAGCTAGAAAGAAGCCCCAATCATGATCAGTTTCATCATCATTTCCTCCCTTTGTTTCTATCTAACAATCAGTTTGGGAAAGGCATGAATCAGCACTGGAACAAGCCCAGACTGCCAGTATTTCTTCATCAACCGCCAGGCCATTGTGGGAACACTGTCAATATCCATCCTTTTGCGCCACATTTAAATATTGGAACTTCTAGCTCAGTGAAAGAGCTCTCAGAGAAAGTAGTCAATTGAAAAAAAAAATTAGCCAAATCAAATAATGTTAGACATTTCTGAACCCAGTGCTGTTATAATCAGAGAAAATCTTGGAAACTGTTAGTGGTCTCTCTTCCTACTGTCCACTCTATTTGCCCTCATGTGGTCCTTCAGTGTAGCCACTCAATCTTGAACTAGTTTCCATAAATGACCCCCTGCCATTTTCCCAAGAAATGAGTTCCACTCTGCCTGGATTGCCTGATTGTATCATGTCTCCTGATGCTGATAAGTGTGTCCAACTTATCAGCATGAGTCTCTTAGTCAAACACCCTTGAATTTTGAACATCCAGTTCCTCTTTAGGTTTTGCCTTCCCTTCATTGGTTGGAGAGGCAAGTTAATGTAGACCTTTATCATTTTCTTCTGACTCCTCTTTTTTTTACTCCATTAAGTTGAGACATTCACAATTTAAAACAGAATCACAATGTCTATAGAATTTTTTCTATGAATTTGAGCATTTCCCACCATGTTAATTTTAAGTTAGTGTTAGGGAGAGGAAATTTTCCCCTCTACGCTTCATGAGTTCTTATAGCTCGCTTAATAATAAAAGTGACATGAGATAGATTATCAAGAGATAGGTTACTATTAAAATGCAACAAGTGTTAATTCATATGCATAGAGATCCCATAGAAATTGAACCTAAGAAGTAGCCAAAGCAGGCAGCTTTTATACTGTTTAAACAAACAAACAATAAATTAGTAAAGAATTGATGGGATGAAGAAATGTAGGCTTTGGGTGCTCAATCCGTGAAAACTCTAAACAGTCTGAGCTTGGGGTAGTAAATTTTAAAAGTACCAAGGTTTATATAGCCTAAATTCCCTAGTGGTAAGGATTTCCTTCTACCTCCAAATGTGGGTGGGAAGGGCACCTCTCACAGGAGAGAATTATTTTCTGCTTTCAAGGGGAAGTAGAAAGAAGGAGGCAGAAGGAAGGAAGCAGAAGGAAGGGCATTGTGTCCCTCTTGTGTTGGGCATTTCTTAAGTAACTTTCATTCAAGAGAGGCAATATGCAATTGAGTCATATTTGGGATGGCTGACAATGCAAGCAAGAGGGAAGACAGTGTGGGTGATATACCCCTAAATAGAATTGGCAGTGGGATGTCTCCAAGAGTCTGTGGCTGATCATCTAAGGATTTAGGACTGACAGCTGGCCTGCCCTTTCACATACAATCTCAGGCATGTCACATAAGCTCCCTGAGCCCAGGCTTATCCTTCTAAAACTGTGAATCTAACAAGAGTTCTGGATATTTCTCCCTTCTATTTAGCACACTAAGCTGAATTGAATTCCTTGGTCTCACTTTAGTAAGTATTTTAAGAACTTGAGGGATGTGAGTGAATGACATATCCCAGTTGAAAAGCTAGACTAAACTCCCTTACCATTTTTGTGTCTGTGTTTTAGAATTATACTTAATGAGCCTATGCATCTACAAAGCAAATTTCTAACTACTTAAAAAGTAATAGGTGATTTTTTTTTAATGGGACAGGTTTTTCTGTTGTTTCCTGGTTTCTCACCAGTTCTTCAGTTGTTTTCAATATGGAAGCCAATTGAATGAGGTCACTGATATGTAGTTTTTTTACTTTTACATTTTAATGTACTTTGCTTTATTCTGCAAGACAGTCTGTATCTATCTCTTAACACCCTCACTGCCTCACCTCCAGTAAGTGAGACTCACTTAGTCTAGACAGAGAAGAGGGTGGTGATTGCTGAGATAAACTATGTTAATTAATTAATATGTGGGTTATACTAAGTTATCTTCACATGCTATATTAATCTATGTTCACATAACTAAGAGGGTTCCTTAAGGTGATTTTTCCTGAGGAAAGGAAGTCTACTCCATGTTCTGTTATACATTATTCTTTCTCTGCTGAGATTTCTTTATTATTGTGATAAAAATCATATAACATAAAAGTTACATTTTGACCTTTTTTTTTCTGAATTAGCTTCTTTTAATGGAAGTATAGTTGATTTACAATGTTGTACCAATCCATAATGGAAAAGGATATTAGAAAAAGAATGCATGTATGTGTAAACCTGGACCATCTGGCTATACAGCAGAGATTGCCATCTTAACCATTTTTAAGTGTACAATTCTGTAGTTTTAATTGTGTGCACTCTGATGTACTACAGCTCTCTAGATGTTTTCATCCTGCCACACTGCTCAATAATATTTTTGCTTCATGGTTCTGTTTTCATTTTTTTTTTAAATCAGCATCTCTTATCATAGGTATTGGCTTATGTGAAAAAGTACAAAAATGTACTCAGTGAAAGAGCAAAATCTGTGGCTACATTTAGGGTTTGGATTTTCTGGAACATTCCAAAGACACAGGTTTAAGGGCTCAGGTCATAGTCTTCCCTGCAGGTCATAAAAGTATAGTTCTAGTCACCTTAAACAAACACACACACACACACACATATGCAGGGAAGCCAGAAGGATTCCTTACATACTCTTTCCTCTGTGGAGAAGAAATATGGGTCATTCCTCAGAGACAGTTCCAGTTCTCTTCTCTGAGAGAAACTATCACATAGAGAAGTCCCTATGGCCTCCTGCCTTGTCTTTATAACCTATTGAGATGTTTGAGCTACCCTAAAATCCTAGGAAACACCTTGTAAAAATTTTGAAGCAGAAAATCAAGTATGAAGGCTTGTACCTAAAATTTTCAGATGTTCACACCTTGATTCTCTAATGCTCAGATAGGACATAGGAATTTTCTCTCTTTGATTTTTTTAAATATTGTTTTTCTTTAAACAATTTTAAGTTCATACAGAGCTAAACCTTCTAGATTTGATCTGTGCCTCTAATGTTTCTTTATGGCCACTTTGCTATATCCACTAAGGCGTATGTGCAAAATGTCCACATTTTTGAAAAATGGAATTACTGCTTTAACTATGGATGTGGGGCAGAGAGACTGATGCCATCCCTAATGTGTGCCAGGGCTCCCTTTTATGACATCAGTTTCAAATCAATTTTTATTGAATTACTACCTTTATGCTTTGGGTTTCAAATTCACCTATTTCCAGTATTTCTTTTGTATGTTTGCCATGGTGAAATTTCTAGTCTGCTGTTCTTTGTCATCACAGATGGAGGCCACAGAAATGGAGCCCCTGTATCCTAGTGCCAGAGTCTGTCAGGCAGGGAGTAATGGGCACCAGTGAAGCCTGCGGAAAGGGGGTGCAAACAAGAGGTAAGGGAATTTCAAAACAGTTTTTCTAATCAAATGTAATTCAAAGTTATGTTGCTTTTATAAATTGTTATCTGTTTTTATATTTGGATAAGTTATGATCTTACTGGATTAGATTGTTTATGAGTGCTTGAGTTTAAGGTTGGCATTAGTTAATGCTGATATTAGACCACCTTTTGACCATAACTAGCTAGTGCACCTAGGGACTAATGCAATGTAAGAAAGTATATGTTCTCAGTCATTAGCGTACCCTATCTGATGGTCCAAATGCACAATGGATATTAGTCAAAGAATGAAGGGATGTGCTGAAATTGGGTCTGATAATATATATTGTACATTTTAGATGCTCATTAATGAATGAATTCATTGCTGAATGAATTAACTAATCATAGCAATCATGACTTACACCTGATTATTATGTACGTACTTGCTGTATGTTTCATAAGGAATGTGCATAGAAAGGAAATATTAAAATTTCTGGTGCTTGCTTCAGTAGCACATATACTGAAATTGGGCCAATACAGAGAAGATTAGCATTTCTCCTGTATAATGACGACATGCAGATTTGTGATACACTCCATACTTTAAAATTTTTCTGGAAGATCTTGTGAATTGACTTCTGGATCTGCAGATAAGTGCCTTTTATCATCAATGTCTAGAAGGTGTGGCATATTGAAATCTCTAAAAAGCACTCAGAAACTCATCGGGTTGCTCACTGTTCTGTTTCATTCAGAATTCGCATGCCAGTTATATAAGGCTTAACAAGAAGGCTTTGTTCTTAAAATCTGACCACTCTGTCATTAAAGGGATGTTTATTGCGAAACTCAGGCCTTGTAGGACCAGCTATGTATCACTGGTTTCATAATTCAGCTGAAAAGCATATTGAGAATTATTTTTCTTCCTATTGCATAGGTTATCATATTAGTTAGGATCAGTCAGCCAGCATAACTCCCTTCTTTGTTGATTCTAAAGTGTAAGAAGCCCAATGTGGGTGGGTGGCAGTTTTAAATTCCAGTTCAAGGAAATCATAGCTATGTTTTTAGTGGAAGCATTCCTCCCTCTGGAAATAAGACCTTTAGGGCAGCAGAACATAAGACTGCAGAGGAACTGGAAGCAAACATTTTACTAATGGATCACTAGGAGTAAGAGTAAGCTATGCCAGTGCCATCTCCACCCTTGACTCCTGGACCTGTGAATCCTGGATATGGGAGAAAAAAAGAAAAACACCACATGTTGGATGCTTCTGGAAAACTTTTCCCTAGCCCTGCAAGATATTGCCCCCTAACTGGTGCTGTAACTAAGTCTTCAAAAGACCTTTTCACCATTATATCAAACCAGGATGGTGGGGGACTTGGTAAGACCAGTAGAATCAATGAGCATGGGCACATTGCCAGGTCTCAATTGCTGGAAAGTGAGATCCTTGATCCAAAATAATGTTGCGTGGAATATCACGACGATGGACAAGGTGTCCTGTAAGTCCATGGATGGTAGTGTCAACTGAAAAAAATGCAGCAGCATGAGAATGGTGAGTTAAGTACCTGAGGAGCTATTCCAGAGAAGGAGTGGGGGAGGTGGATATTATGTATATGTTTATAGTGAAGGGGGATACATTTTATCAAGCACACCTTTTGCCATAGAATTGCTGCTAGTCTTGAGGAGTAGATGTCTTCGTTAGTGATTTCAGTGCTTTGCTAGATATAAGATGCAAGAATTTGAGCTCACAAAATCTTCTCTTGAAAATACGAAACTATCTGAAGGCCTTCTCAGCTAGTTTATCACAGAGCACAGAGTGCCTCATTGCTGATCATTGCCCTGAACTCCTTTCTGAGTGTGTTGAAGGTCAGTGACTGCAGTGGCTAGTGACTTCATCCTTGTAAAGGCAGATGGCAAGTGATCAGTTTTATCTTGCAGTGAGTAATTTTGATAAAAGCATTGCATTCAGGAAAGGCAAATCCTTATCCTATTTGAATAACTACCTATCTGGTAAGAACAAAACACTGCACCTTCTATGATGGAAGTAGTCCAGTGTAATGAACCTGCCACTGTGTAGCTGATCACCTTGGGGAATGGTCCATACTGGGTGCCCAGCACTGGCCCCTGATGCTGGCAGATTGAGCACTCAGACATGACTGTAGCCAAGTTGCCCTGGATGCATGGAATCCCATGATGCTGAGCCCATGCATAGCCTTCCTTCCCATCACCATGGCCACTTTGTGCAGGAGCTCATTAGGTGATGGCAGGGTTAGCTGAGGACAGAGGCTGACTCATATCCACAGAATGGGTCATCCTATCCAATGCTTATTAAAATCTTTCTCAGTTGAGGTCAGTCTTTAGGAAGTATTCACATGGGATACAAATATTGCATACAAATATGTTCACGTTGTTGCCAATTCAGAGAAGTCTATCCACATACCACACATGCCTACCTTCCCTTGTCACCGATTTTCTAACTGTGTTCCTTTTGCTGGCCATTGAGCAAAATGATTGGCCACAGCATGTGCATCTGTACTTAATCCCACAGCTGGCCATTTCTCCTTCCAAGCAAAGTGAACATGCAGTACATGCTGCCTGAAGTTCTATACATCGGGATGACTTCCTTCACTCTGTCTTTCAGGGATGTCTCAGGAAGGGGTTAGTGTCACAGCTGTCCATTTGGGTGCCCACATATCATGCAGAACCATCCATAAACCAGATCGAAGTATTCTTTTCCTCTGCTAACTGATGGTAGGAAATTCCCCCATGAGGATGTATGTGCAGACTGGAAGAGAGAGGGTAGTTTGGCAAAGGTGGGGACTGTGGGTAGTTGAGCCACTTCTTCATGTAACTTACTGTGCTTTCAGGCCCTCTTTGGGTTTGATTATATATGTACCATGTCCATGTGGTGATGGGGTGCTGCTGTGCATCCAGCTCATGATGGGCAGCTCAGGGTGTGTGGTTAAGCATGCAGCCTCTCTGAAGGCCCATTAGCTGGCCAAAAGCTGTTTCTCAAATGGAGAGAAGTCCTTTGCAGAGGACGGCAGGGCTGTGCTCCACAATCGGAAGGACCTAAACAGCAATTCACCTATAGGAACCTCCCATATGCCCCACAGAGCATCTGTACCTGCCACTGAGACTTCAGGCACCACTGGATCTGCTGATCCTATGGCCCAAGTAGCAGAGCAGCTTTACCAGCAGCCTGAACCTGTTACAGAGTTTGTTTATTTGTTTGTTTTTCTTTCTTGGGCCCCACTCAAAACTATCAGCTTTTCAGATCCCTTGGCAAATGGGCTGGAGTTACACACCCAAATGAGGACTATGTTGCCTCCAAAATCTGAAGAGACACAATATGCTAGATTAAGGTGTCTTTCCCTTAGAAGGGGTTCTCAGCATGCCTCACATGGCTGGATCTTCAGACCTTTCACTGGAGTTGAAAGCCCCTGAACTTTCTCAGGGCTTCCTTGGTGGCTCACATGATAAAGAATCTACCTGCAACGCAGGATACCTGGATTCAGTCCCTGGGTCAGAAAGATCCCCTGGAGGAGGGCATGGCAACCCATTCCAGTATTCTTGGCTGAAAAATTCCATGGACAGAGGATCCTGGCAGTTACAGTCCATGGGGTCACGTGAACTTTCTCAAATTTATTTACAGCTCTCTGACATGAAAATGTCTTGCCAGTGAGTCTAGAGTTGTTTCTTCTTGCTCATTATGTCCAATCAGGATAAAGTCACCAGTGTAATGGGTCAGTGTGATATCTTGTTGAAGGAAAAGTGATTGAGCTTGGGTTAGAATTCAGTCCCTAATAACTATAACTTGGAAATGATGTCCTTGTCGGAACATTTGAATATGTAAATTTGATGTGCAAGATAGTTAGATTTAGGACTTTTCAGAGGCTGTACAATGGCTATGAATTACAGGAAGGAACCACTTCCTAATAACATTTTGTTTCCCTGTGTCAGAAAATTGTTATAATAATATAATCTTGTTATTCCAAGGCTTGTACTTACTTTCTGCTGCAAAGTTGTTATTAAATATTTAGATCAGCAAAATCTACATAAATGAAGTATTTTAAAAATGGTTTCTTTGGGACTTCTGTGACCGTCCAGGGGTTAACACTCCATGCTTCCAACACAGGGAGTGCAGGTTTGATCCCGAGTTGGGGAACTAAGACCCCTTATGCCATGCTGCACAGCCAAACATAAAATGGTACCTTTGTACAGGACACAGTGTAGCCATATGTTGACCTAGGCTTTGATGCTCTGTGATACTAGAGATAATTATGGTTTGTTTCCATTGCAAAGTCATTTAGTGAATTCTGCAAAGACATTGCTCTTAAATTATGTAGAAAGTTATCCTATAGTAGCAAATTATTGTATCTATCTTAGAAGTGTTTTAAATGGATTCTAGCTGGAGCCCAGATAGTCCTTCAAAGTAAACAAAGTAGATAGATACCTGTTGTTCAGTCACTAAGTTATGTCTAACTCTTTGTGACCCTATGGACTGCAGCCCTCCAGGCTTCCCTGTCCTTCACTATCTCCTGGAGTTTGCTCAAACTTATTTCCATTGATTCGGTGATGCCATCCAACCATCTCATCCTCTGTTGCCTCCTTCTCCTCCTGCCCTTAATCTTTCCCAGCATCAGGGTCTTTTCTAATAAGTCGACTCTTCACATCAAATGACCAAATTATTGGAGCTTCAGCTTCAGCATCAGTCAGTCCTTCCAATGAATATTCAGGGTTGAATTCCTTCAGGATTGACCGGTTTGATCTCCTTTCTATCCAAGGAACTGTTAAGGGTCTTCTCCAACACCACAGTTCAAAAGCATCAATTCTTCAGTCTCAGCATTCTTTCTGTTTTCCCCAAGTTAGACCCCAACATCAGAGAATTCCTAATCTTGACTTATTTGGAAATTTGCACTTCTAAATTAATAGGATGAGTCTTTGGTTTTAAGAGAGTGGAACAAATGTATTTCTACTCCATTCTTTTCTGTAAAATTACTTCAAAACCAGCAAGAAAAACATGAAAG